AGAGAGCTTAAGGTTTTAGGCGCTGACAGTGAAAATTGAAGCGTCGCTTTGCACAACCCATTGCTCAAGCATTAAAGATGGCATTTCATAGAGCAGCCAGCAAGGACTGCCTTCCTCAAGTACTTCTGCTTTGCGACAATTTTCGCCTTCACAATAGTAAAGTGCGTCTAAAAGTTAACTCAACGCGAGCTGGAAATGAAGATCACAAAGGCTTCGAAGTGACAGAAAAGTAATTTGAAGGTTTGAGGCAGTGAAAATGACTCGACTCAATTGTTTGAGAGGTAGCCATACATGGCCCGAATTCAGAAACCACTTGGCACGGATAATTTCCATGTATACCACGTAGGACGTGCTTGTGGTCTCCACTTGTCCACCGACTCCACTTCCACCAAGAGAAGTCGCGGGCCGTGGTTGAAAGACAAATTAGGGAAATGGTAAGCAAGCAACTACTGACGGTTCGTACAGCAGGTAAGGAAAGGTTTGAAATGGAGCAGAAAGTGGAGTCCAAAGCTCCAAAATGGAAACCTACTGCAAACCGAAGTTTGTGGAGGTATGATGGCCCAGAAGTCCTCACCTCGTCCATCCGACTGTGCAGCCAAATTGGGAGGGAATATGTGCCTAGTAGGACAAAAGAGGTGAATAACTTCTGACTTCCTTCGGTCTGCGCTGACCTGACACACTCAGACAATCGCGCTACTCTGTGCATTTCGCCTTCTAGCCCCCATACAGTGAATACAACTACCTCCAGGCTGGCAACATCTCACAGTCCACTCAGGGCAGATTTGGACTGCGCAAGAGGAAGTGAGTGAGTGAGCGAGCAAGCGAGGTGTTCACCTTGCAACAACAAGAAACTGAGGACAGGCCTGAGGAGGCAGCGGCTGTGGCTGGAATTCCAAGCTAAAAGCCACATCATCATCCTCGATGAGGTAGTTGAACATGATCAAAGGCTCGTACACTCGGCTCCCGTCCACAGCAATCAAAGCGTCGGGCAGTTGAACCACCTCGTCACCTTCCATACCTGTAGTGAAGTTTGGGTACTTGAAGCCCAAATTCTACAAAAAACAA